GGTGGGTCCCCTTCTGTTGTTTCTTCGCCCAATATTTTTTATATATTCCAAAACAATTCTCTGTAAAGTTTCAGGATATTTGGAGTTGTGCAGAATAGGTATCTCAAATCTGCTCCTTTTAGGTCCAGAATTCCAGCTGCAAGCATTCTCCCTCTTCATGTAAACCTTATAAATAAGAGAGAAAAGGCATAATAATTGTATATTAAAGTGTAATAACATGCCATGCTGCAATAATTATGAATATAAAAATATGATGCAAAATGGACGTATCAGAGAACTTTCGAACGAAGCCTTAGACGAACTTTAACACTGCCCATCTATTATGGTTCCATGTTAGTGATGTCCCACTCTACAGTTCATTTAAACTCGCTTCGGTATTATAGTAACAAGACAAATGATCCTAATAAGCTGATAACCACATAAAAAATCATAGTAACATTTGCTCAAGTTCCACTTAACTACTCCAATAATTGGTTACATTTGGCAATGAACATAATAATCCAATTGTCCGAGCACCCCAATGAAAATATTCTGAAGTATTCATAAGAAAAGTGAGGATTTAAACCTGAAAAATTACCACCAACTTGAATACTTCAAGAATTTAAACAAGCATGCAGACGTGGTGTTTCAAGCGAGGATTTAAGATGTTCTATGTTTATCAGTTCCCTCCCAATTTCCACCCACTCCCTTCTCTAATAAGATGGTGAAAGTTAGGGAAGAGGCTTATGTAAGTCGCTTGAAAAATTATTTCGGTTAGGTCAATTTTCCTGGTCATCAGATTAAAGATCCAATGGTCAACCTTCTTTCTTCTTCCTCCTCAACCATTCCTTTTCACACAAAATGGACTTACCCAAACTATAAATTAAGTCAACTTACATATATCTACGTGGAAAGTTAGACTCTAATTAACTCCCAAGTCCAACCCCCCTAATTCTCATCGCCTCCAATGAAATAGGTCACTTTATATCTTAGAACCCTTAAAACTACATTCCCCTTGTCTAAATAGCTCCAACCAAACATGGTTCTGTTGTTATTAAATAATATAGTGTTCTCGTCATCTCATGAATGACTGTTTTGCACTTGGCATTTGACACTTGCATTTTTTTCCATCCCAAAGAGTTTGGTGACATGCTCTATGTGGCTCCTCTTCCTCTCGAGCTCTTTATCTGGTGCCCCCTTCTTTCTACGACTGAATGTTTGACACCGCCTAATGACACCATCTCTCCTCCATCGGAGGGATGTCGATGAGGGAGCAATCCTCTCCCAGTTCTTGTTTTTTTGGCGAAGTAGGTACGATATAGACACATCGATTGAGGTGGTAGGGACTCTGATTGGAAATGAAAGGGAGGCATGCTGGTTAGGGTTAACTTTTATGGAATTGACTAGGCCATTGTAGACATGTTGATATCTTAGAACCCATCAAAGGAGACTTCGTCGACCGGGTTATCCGTCAACGTTGGTCACACATCAGAGACGGATTTCTACCACAGGCCTATCACATACAAACTTTAACACCACACATCTATGATGGGTCCAGCACCCATTTGTAATGTTACATCGGTGATATCCCCGCTCCACAATTTATTCCACGTGCCACTTGAATTACCGCCATCCTCTTCAGCTTGGAGCCATGCTCTTCGGTGGCTCCCCCTTCCTTTCTGGTTCCTTATCCGGTGATCGGCCCCCTCTTCTACTATGACCGAACATACGAACACCCGTCTCAGTGTTTTTACTTCTCCTCACATTCGACGAGGCAGTAACAGCGATGACAATCTTCCCTCCTTTGCTCCCCCTCCCCCGCCATCTCGTGCTCTGGTAGTTCCCCTTCCTCCCCGGTTCCATATCCGGTGATCGCCCCCTCTTCTACTATGACTAAACGTACAAACACTTGTCTGAATGTTTTTACCTCTCCTCACATTCAATGAAGCGGTAACGATGATGCCAATCTTCCCTCCTTCCCTCCCCCTCTCCCGCCATCTCGTGCTTTGGTGGCTCCCCTTCCTCTCTGGTTCCTTATCCGATGACCGCCCCCCTCTTCTACTATGACCGAAGGTACGAACACCCTCCTCAATGTTTTCACTTCTCTCCAATTTGATGAGGCGGTCACGGCGATGACAATCCCCCCTCCATCTTGTCCTTTGGCGACACGCATGATTGATATGTCTCTGTCGTATCTATAATTTTTGATTGTTCCATGCCAATATTATTCAACTTTCATATACTTTTGGCAACTTTTTATACTTTTTTTGGGACTAACATATTGATCCAGTGCCCAGTGCCAGTTCCTCTTTGTTGCATGTTTTATGTTTCGCAGAAGCCCAATATCAAACGGAATCCAAACGGGATAAAAACGGACGGAGAATTATTTTGGAATATTTGGGATTTTCCGGAGGAAGAATCAACGCGAAACAGTGTCCGAGGTGGCCACGAGACAGGGGGCGCACCCACCCCTCCTGGGCGCGCCTGGCACTCTCGTGGGCCACCCTTAAGGCGGTTGACGCTCTTCTTTTGCCGCAAGAAAGCTAATTTTATGAGAAAAATCTGGGCGAAAGATTCACCCCAATCGGAGTTATGGATCTCCGGATATAAAAAACGGTGAAGGGGAAGGATCTGAGAACGCAGAAACAGAGAGATAGATCCAATCTCAGAGGGGCTCTCGCCCCTCCCATGCCATGGGAGCCAAGGACCAGAGGGGAAACCCTTCTCCCATCTAGGGAGGAGGTCAAGGAAGAAGAAGAAGAAGAAGAAGAAGAAGAAGAAGAAGAAGGGGGCCTCTCTCCCCCTTGCTTCCGGTGGCGCCGGAGCGCTGCAGGGGGCCATCATCATCACCGCGATCTTCACCAACACCTCCGCCATCTTCACCAACATCTCCATCACCTTCCCCCATCTATATTCAG